TCTCTCTCTCTCTTTCTCATGTTAAAAAAATTTGACGTCAGCTAGGTTCGAACCCGGGCTATCCACGTGAATGGATTCACAGACGAGCGCCATGCGACTGATACATAATTCATATAGATTAATCCTTTCCACCAGTCAGTCTAGGTTTGATTAAAGTTTCGAAACTTACTCAACTGCTGGGTGAAGCAGTGTGTGTCAGACCTGCCAACAAAAATCAGTCTCAATATAATATATAAAACTTTATAGGACGATAAGGTCGTCAGATGTCTCCAGCTTAACTGCAAGAGCGCGAACAATACCCAAAAGAAACCCAGATGTTGGAAAATTTTGATGTAGCTATTATAACTACCTGTAGTACTCAATGCAAACGATGTGTTGTGTGGTCGTCTGTTACCCCGACTAGATAGATACGGATAATAACTGAGTTTTTTTTCCTCTTTGGAGAGTGGGGGCACTAAATGACCCCACCGGACGCAAAAAAGGTCGTTTTGAAATGCGACCACTGGTCACAAAGATACATCACCAAATGCGATTTGCTTTGGATAGCAGTCTGTCAAAATGGTTTATTGAGGAAAATTGAAAGTTTCAAAGAGATATTCGAACTAGAATATTTCTAAAATGTGAAAAATACAACCCTTGGGGTACAAAATGACCCCAGACGTTCGGATAGGGTTAAGATGGAAGAAGTTTGATGGATGATGGTAAGATGACGGATTATGTGTCAGACCAGGAGACATGGAAGACAGTGTGCAGTCAAGGGTAAAGCAAAAACAAAAGTGTTAGAAAAGGTTTCAGTTTTAGTAAGAGTATTACGGAACTTGCAACACAATAAGGTCAGGGGTCGAAGAATAGATGTATTACAAGAGAGTTACATACACAAAAAAGAAGGAGGAAAGATAAGGACGATAGAATCTAGATGTTTGATAGGAAAGAAGGAGCAAACCACACCAGAGCACCCGCCAACCACCAACTAGACAAGGGAGACCGAGTAACATGATAAAGAAAACAAATGAGTCGCCTGCTATTAAAATTTGGCGAACGAGCGACACTTCTGAGGCCATTTCTTCATGTTGACGTCCATTGTTAGGCCTACCGTGCGACTGTTCGGCGCACGTGTCATGTGTTATTTAAGTTAGAGTTGTGGGCAGAGCTAATTGATTATGGCGATTCACACGGTTCCCTCACTAGCACTATAATTTAAGCGAGGCATCACGATGAAATCAGGCGCTCGTCAAAATGATGAAGTCATTGAAAAAATTAGCCATTTTATTAGGGGGAGGGGTAATTTTTGTAAAATTATTATTTTAATTTTTCACTCAACACTTTTTACGTCCTTTTAAAGACACTTTTATGTGCGGGTTTCACAGAAAAAGATTGGCTAAACGCACACAAAAAATGTAAATTTTCAGTTCCCAGGGACCCTCAAGCTTTGGAAGTTATCAAACTTAGGCTTCCATTTTCTCGCTACTTTTACTTTTGAAACCAGACGACCCTGACCTCCTTCAATCGCAAATATTTCGACTTCTGTTCTAGAAAGATGGATCGTTGTTTGTTTGTTTGTTTTTGGGGTTTAAAAAAAAAACCCAAACGAAGGCAAATGAACGGGTTTTAAGATGATACCAATAATCTTAAAAGCCTAACAATTGACGAGCGCCTGATTCCACCACGTCGTAACACAATTGCTACCTAACGGTCAGCAGTGAGAGGAAATATCCAACAGGTCTGGTTCATTCATTGGAGAGACTGACAATAACGACAGGTGAGTTGATTATGGCGATTGTGAGTCGGGAGCCGACATACAATATTTATGGCAACGCGTCAGGCGATAGGAATTTTCATGGCCATCACAGATAGTTTTTTGGGTTTTTTTTGTTGGGGGCGGGGGTTGTTGTTGGTTGATAAATATAAATGCCGTGACCATATGTGAGAGGTCGTTTGACGAAGTGCCATTTAGAATCTAAACAAGCGAACAAAAGAAACAACAAAACTACAAAACGCAAAGGGGGAATGGAATGTGACCGTTTGCAAAGGTGGCCGTCTTATAGTTTTTTTAACTTATATTATTGGAGACTGTCTTGATAGGTTTGACTGCATACAGTGGAACTCGGATTCAACGTTGAATCCGAGTGTTCGTTATAGCAAACACGAGGTTTTGTGTAGATAATACAGGCACTGAGGAAGTAATATATAAAGAGAAGTCACAAGTAGTGCCTGAAATGCCTGCATATTATGAGCTGTGTAAAAAAGACCGATTCGTTCAAATGCAAATGCCTGTGTCATCTCGATTGTTTACCAAAAAGTTGTGTTGCTGTGTAGAGCCTAGCATACGGCAACTTTTGATTCCATAGACCAGCTCACAATTCAATACGCAGATCTACGTCAAGACTAGCTTATTATAGTAATAATGATCAGTTACCGAGGGGGGGAGACTGTGACGCGTTCGTATCTGCGACGTTCAACGCCTGGACCGCTAGCCCCCCCCCCCCCGACATGCACACAGTCACACGTGTGCAGGCCGCCCATCCGACCACGACACACGCCAGAGTAGACACGTGCGCACTGCGCATGCCAACAACACATGTGTTGGTATGGAAGAAAGCCGCTGATTGGTCGCATGCAATCGGCTAAGTGAATAATAGGCCTAGGCTAGTTCACAATGCAGGTGCAATGGATGGTTTCCGGGAATAGATAAAATTCATTCAGGGAGAAAAAAGAGCAAAGCCGCGTCTGAAGGGGGTGTTCACCCTGGAAGCGACATAATTGAATTCGAGCTCGCTGCTTAAGCGCTCGTTGAATCAGGATTATTATTTTTTAAAAATTGATTTTAAAGAAGAAAAAAAACACCGGAGAATCTATCTCATGTCGTTGAATCCGAGTTCTCGTTGAATCCGAGCTCGTTGAATCCAAGTTTCACTGTACTACAATATAGGGCCTATATTATATGTTTTATTTATATATACAAAAAAAGTCAATTCCCACTAAACTAATGATAGTACACTTTGTCACTGGATCACATGATTAGTCACGTGAGGCTTAGAGTGCTCAAGTGCTGTGTTTTTGTGTTATCTTTTGCCTCCTAACTGAGCAAAACCTTGCATTAGCTGCCAATAAGGAGGTGTGTCTTTGAATAGGATGTATGTATGTAAATACCGTTTTCTTACCTTTAAGGTGTCTGTCACATACTAAATTCATCGAATTAAACCTAACTTTCGTAATTTCTGTGTCATGAGCATGTTTCCTACATTAACCCCATGTGGGAAAACGTTGTACTGGAGGTGGAATAACTTCGTACATTGTCGGAAGTTTCCCGACGACTAGCCTATGTAAGAGCAATAGGAATCAGGGTTACTATGAGAAATGAATTCTAGAATTCCCGAGAGTCGTTTTGTATTTCCCAGATTGCAACCATGCCAAGGAAACCTAGAGCCCCAAAAAGAAGAAGAGAACATTTTATTTGGTATTCACAAAAAGATAAAACATGCCATGCATGCACTCATTGTCTTTGCGTCGTGCAACAGTTATGCACAATGTGAAGAAATATACTTTGAAGGCTATCAGTAACGGTATCTAGATGTTGATGAAGCGTTTAAGAGACACTTTTTTACTTACTTTTTACTTTTTTCTTCCGCTTGTACCGGGGGGTGTCGCGGGGAGACACAGGCGTCTGTCTGCAGCAAGGCGAGTGGCCTGTAGGAGGGACATCCGGTGAACTCTGAGGGGGTCTGCCACGGATTCACTCCATCGTCGCCTTGGTCTTCTTCTGGCTCTCCATCCAGAATATTTAATTAATGTTGTATGCTCTCAGAGCTGGATGGTTTGTTGGGGGCATCCGCGTGAGGTGTCCAGACCACTTGACCACTTTTTTACGATTGCACAAATTTGTTTTATGATCCTGTGGGGAAGAATTTGGGATTATCCGGAAGTGTGTCCACTTCGTTGGGAAAATGGTGTCAGAATAAGATGAAGAGGGTCACTCACTTAGAACTTTAGATGAAAGCTGTATCGAAGTTTTACCTCTCAAAAGTAATATTTGATACATTAAACGCTCTCATGTCTGAAGTCACCCTGACTGTTCGCCGGAAGTTCCCTTCACGCTTGTCCGATGTCTTTCGCAGAGTGGGGTGGTGATATTTAATCGATCTGCCACGATGTTTCTGTTTAACTTGACAGTCTACAATCCACAATAATGATAATAATAATAACCATTTTTCCATCGCATTAGTACAGGCTTGTGATTCCCATTGACTTCATAGAATGTTTAAGCGGTTTTTGTTTGTTGTGGGGTGGGAGGAGGGGGGAGAGGCTAGCAGCTCTCTACTTATTTCTTGAAAGAATGAGTGACAGGCTGTTTTGATTAAATTTGGAACTTGAAACTACCCTGGGGCCCTTGCGGTAGACGACTTATCACGGTAGACGGCCATGTGGACGGCTGAGTGACACCCACATAATTTCAATTCATTATAATAGCTCGTACCTCTCTCGTAAAAAAGAACCTGTTATAGAAACACATACAAACAAAAACCATTTGATAAGTTGATAAGACGACGGCCCCATGAATGGTCGCAATATGCGGCTGCAATATGATAGGCAATCAATGGACCAGAATTAACTCTCCATTACTCACATATAGGCCTAGCCTTGTTTCAGCGCATTATTGCTCGAAACCCC